TAACAACAACAACAACAATAACTGTATAGCATTTCAACAGTGATGTTGCCTGATATCAAACTTATATATGCTTTCATTGAGAAAGTAATGCTGGGTTATTGCTAAGGAGTATTGTGTTTGATGGAAGTCACTGATAATGAAGGTTAATTGCTAACAACATATTTTCCCCCAGTTACCATTACATCTAAGGAGATTATTATGAAGGAAATGGTAAACAAAATGGCAAAATCTTTGCTTTAATATTGAAAGATCAAGATCAAACAATTTGATGTACTACGTGTAAAGTACACAGAATGGAACCCAAACATTTTTCCTTAGATTCGCTTCCCACCATTGGCTAAGAGAATGTTGGTGTAATCATTGGCAAAATGTCAATAAGGTTTGTAAAATTTGCAAAAGTATTGTGTCGCTATTGTTGTTGTTTCTGTTAAGTGTTGTAGAGTCATTTCCGACTCGAAGTAATCCCATATAGGGTTTCCAAGGAATGGCTCTGGTAGCGTAGTGGTTACGAATTGGGCTGTGAACCTCAGGGTCAGCAGTTCAAAACTACCAGCTGTTCCACGGGAGAAAGATGAGGCTTTCTGTTCCCGTAAAGATTGACAGCCTCGGAAACCCTGTACAGGGTCGCTATGAGTCGGAACCGACTCCAAGCACATAACAACAACAACAACAACAAGGAATGGCTGGAGAGTTTGAACCATCAACCTTGTAGTTCAAATGACCTTGCTGCCTAGTGCTTAATCCTACAATACCACACCAGGATTCCAATATTAGTCTGATAATTCTGATAATTTAATTATTATCAAAATTGTTAAACTAATATGTGGTTATGTGAAGGACTGTTCCTAGGAACCAACCCACTGAACTATGTAGGGGTCAAAGAACATCATGTCTTCAGTGTGAGTCCAAAGGACTCTGGAAATAATGACATTATATTGATGATGAGAAAATGTGATAAAATATCAGCCTCCTGGGGAGTCTGGGTGAAGAGCGTAAGGGAACTTGTACAATTCCTGGTACTTTTCTGTAAGTCTGAGATATGTGAAAATAAAAAGTTAGAAACAAAGGATGCTACCTGGCACATAAGAATTCAGCATTTGTTAACTGCTGCTTCTGTTCTTTGTTGTCATTGTTTTGCTATTAGGCAAATCCAGTTATACCCACTTCTCAGTCTGCTGCTGCTGACACCTCCATCCCCGATGATGAAAATATGCTTGGGGCAGGGGAGGGAATGATGTTAGTCAGAGAACAAGTCAGTGAATTAGAAGCGGGCACAAATTGCTGAGAAGAAATATTGTACTCTGGAGCTCTTAGGGTTGGCTCTAAGGGATGGGTGACACAGATAAATCCATCCATTCCCTCCAGAGCCAGTGCCCCACTCCCTAACTGAAAAGCTGAAGCAGGCAGTTTTGTACAGCTTTTCCTAGAAACTGCTCTGTGGGGCCAGGGACTGAGGCTCTGGCAGTCTTAGTGGTGAAGGAGTCAGATCGTCCTGTGCTTGCAAGAATGACTTGGGAATACTGAGAAAAAGAGAGGGGCCAGTAAGCTTAGCCTCCTGATCTGAGGAGTTTTGTAGATGTCCTCACAGAGGAATGAGCCCCCCCTAGGAACTGGTAAATGTTGCATGTATAGATTCAGACTCATGGAGAGAGATGGGGTGGGGCAGGGGTAGTGAGAGCCTCCAGGTCTCTTAACTGGGACCCAAATAGCAGGGTTCTTATAGCTCACCCACATAACTCGGCATCTATGTTGCTCTTTTATTGGGAAAGTTGTGCAAATCCACTGCTAGGTTGATGCTGAGTATTTATTTTGTAGTATTTGTCAACTTTTGAGTGGTGTAAGTGGGGCACTTTTGTGGTTTTTGTTGATAAACCTAGTTTTTGGATCTGCTATATTCTCTCAAGTTGTGGGCACGCTACTCCAGGAACCGTCTGGGAAGCGTGAAACCATCTCTACTCTCTCTTGCTCTGCCGTTACTTTGTCTTTATCCTGACTCACTGTGTTCATGTCATTTCAGGTTTACTTGGCCCAATCAATGTCACACTAAGGTGAAAAGTACGTTTGAAATTCTTTTACAGGGATAAAGGCCATATTCTTACTCTCATGTTGTGATTGTTAATACATATTGCCATTCTATTCGTTTTATTAATTTGCATAATATAAAAACATCATCCTATGGTTACTTTGCTTAAAGACTTCTTCTTCCTAGGATTTATTCCCATAATTTGGCCTTTGTAATCACTTGAAACTTTCATAACCTAATGTATCTGTTAATATGCCATCACTTTGGTTCTGACTCATAGCAGCGAATTATATAAGGTTTCCAAGGAGCAACTGGTGGGTTTGACCTACTGACCTTCTGGTTAGCAGTCTGATGTTTATCCTACACCACCACACCAGGATTGGGAAAATTTTTTAAATGTTAACATTTTTATAGCTGTAAATATTTAAGCCTTAGGTAAACCTGATATTTGTATAGGTAACTGAGACGCTATCTATATGCTTTAGTGGACATTTCTAGTGCATATCTCCACCCTCCCTTTTTAAAAAAAAAACCAAAAAGCAGCTCACATGTTTTGTTTCCTGTTGATATTTGGTATGTGGATTGGTGTTTTGGTGGATTAATAGCCGAGAATCTATAGATATTTATGAGCAAAATTAAAGTTGACTTTTGGTAAGAAATGTTATTTTGTAAAATTCTAAATTTCAGGTTAAAAATATTTAAATGCATGCAAAATAGTCTATTACATGTCAAATTGCAAAATTAAGTCAATTCTATTAAAAGCAAAACATTAAGCAGATGTTGTTGTTAAGTGCCATTGAGTTGATTCCAACTCATAGAAACCCTGTATAGGATTTCTGAGGAGCAGCTGGTGGATTTGAACTTCTGACCTTGTCCAGTCCAGTGCTGGTGCTACAGCGCCCAACTCAGATGTAGTGTAGCTTATATTCTTTTAGGCCTTTTATAATTTGATGGGCTTGATATGCTATCTTATAGCATGATTTCAAAACCTAGAAGAAACCAAGAGACTGCATCAGTAGCAGCCGTGGACCCTGTCCCAGGTCATCTTAGAAGCTCCGGAAGCCCCTCTGTCATCCAGGTCCGGCCCAGACTTGACTTGAGACTCTCTTTCCCTAACAGCCTAGCATTTCTTACCTTAAAGACTATGGTTTTTTCCAAGTCAAAGGTGAAATAAACCTTTGGTTTATTAATAAGTGTGACCAGCCCTTGGGAGCCCATGGAGGCTCAGTGATAACATAACGCCTTCATGAACCACAGCCCTATGTCTATGTTGGAGATAGCAGGAAACCACTCACAGTCAAATATCTTTCCCTTTGAGATCTGCTGAAGCACTTGAGTCATGAAACCCGGAAAGGCTCCCCGGTGGCGTACTCAATGCCAGACTGGTACACCCACCACAGCAAACCCCCAACGGCTGACCAGAGACAGTGAGTATTTTGAAATGTCCACGTTTTTTTTTTTCAAGGAAATAAAATATAGATGTGAGAGGGCTTCATAAGTTTGTGGAATAATTCTAATATCTTTCAATCCCATTTCCCCACAAACTTTTTAAAGCCACCGTGTGTGTGAGTGAATGGAGAGACCATTTGGGATTTTAAAAATGCAAATATCTAATCCTGATACCAGTATTATGATATTATGACTTTTGGTGCTATTTTACAATGTTGTTTGTTGTTGTTAAGTGCCATCGGGTCAGTTCCAGCCCATAGTGACCCTGTTTGGGGTTTCCAAGGATCCACTGGTGAGTTTGAACCACTGACCTTGCGGTTCAAACGATTTTGCAGTCCAGCGCAGTAACTGGCAGTGCCACACCAGGACATCCAGTTTCCAAGCAATTGTTCGAAACTCAGAATTCTGAAACTTTGTAGTGGTGTCGTGCCCATAGAGTTGTATCTCTGTGGACTGTTATTGTTAAGTGCCATTGAGTATATCCTAACTCATAGTGATCCTATATACGTTTTAACCACTGACCTTGCGGATAACAGCCCAGCACTTATCCCATAGCGCCACATCAGGACTCCAGGTCTGTAGACTACTTAATTGTAAATTGTTTCAAGTTCTTGTTTTCTTTGTCATAGGATACCTGATTATGCATGCCATCTTTATTTATATGAGCCACAGTGCATTCCCAAAGCTATCTTTTTCTTAAAAGATTAGGTAAAGCTAGAAATACAGAAAGTACAAAATTACAGATACACTGGGGCCTAATATCCCCAATGTTCGAATGTCTAAGAAATTCCTATATTTGGGCACCCAAACTATATCTTCCAAACCACTTCTCTGGGATTGGGAAGTAACATGAAACATTATTTTATATCACTTTCCCAATTGTTTGTTTGGAAAATATGGCTGGCATCCTTTGCAAATTCTTAGCTAGTGTCATTTGAATGCACAGCCTCTATTCTTAATGTGGTTCTGTCTTCAGGATGCCTATGCCCCTGTTTTTCAAAACTAACCTTTTGGGTTGCTGTGGCCTACTTCCAGTGTTACTATTACACACTTAAGAATGGAAATGAGATTTAGACAGGCGAGAACGTTAGAAAGGAAAACCAAGGCAATTTGGAAGCACTGGTAAAGCATGATAAAGCAAAATTTTGCTGAGGAGTATTCAGAACCAGTTGCAGCAATACATTGACTGAGAGCTGCCAGAAATTCAAGCTGGATTCGAAGATGACTGAGGAACCAAGGCTATCATTGCTGACATCAGACGGATGTTTGCTGAACACAGAAAATACCAGAAAGATGTTTACTAGTGCTTTAATGACTATGCAAAAGCATTAGACTGTGTAGATCATAGCAAACTATGATGATATTACAGAGACTGGATATTCCCAAACACTTAATTATGCTCATGAGGATCCTGTCCATTGGCTGAGAGTCCGTGTTCAAACAGAATAAGGAGATCCTGAATGGTTTAAAATCAAGAAAGGTGTTTGCCAGAGTTGTGTCCTCTCATCATACTTAGTCAATTTGTATGCTGAGCAAGTAATCTGAAAAATTGGAGTATATGAAGAAGAACATGGCCTCAGGATTGAAAAGGGACTCATTTACAACCAGTAATATACAGATGATGCAAGCTTGTTGGCTGGCAATGAAGAGAACTTGAAATACTTACTGATGAAAATCAAAGATCGGTAAGTATAGTCTTCAGTATTCGTTGCACTTCAAGGTAAAAAAAACAAACATCCTAACAACTGGACCAATAAATGACATCAAGATAAAAGGAGAAAAGATTGAACCTGTCCAAGACTTCATTTTTATTGGGTCTACCATCAGCATTCATGGAAGCAGCAGTCAGGAAATCAAATGACATACTGCATTAGGCAGATTTGCTGCACAAAGACTCCTTTCAACTGTTGAAGATGTTAGTTTAAGGCCTAAGGTGCACCTGACCCAAGCCAGGGTATTTTCAATGGCCTTGTATGCATGTGAAAGTTGACCGATGAATAAGGAGGGCTTGAGAAGAATTGATTCCTATAAATTATGATGTTGGAGAAGATTATTGAAAGTCCCATGGACTGCCAGAAGAACAAAGAGGTCTGTGATGGAAGAAGCAAGCATGGTGAGACGTTACAGCTTGTACTTTAAGATATGCTGTCAGGAGGGACCAGCCCCTGGAGGACACCACCGTTGGTTAAGGAGAGGGTCATCCAAAAGAGGAAGACTGCCAAGGATATAGAATAACACAGTGTCAGTAACCGTGGAATCAAACACAGCAACAATTGTAAGGATGTGGCAGGGCCGAGTAGTATTTCATTGTGTTATGCATATGCGATGGAACTGATTTGACAGCATCTAACAACAGTGGAAAGCATGAGGCTTATAGAAAAAGATATTGTCTGATATGTTGTTGCTACACAGTGAAACCCGAGTACTAGAGAGCTATTTGATAGGTTTAGATTTGTGAACTATTTCTGGACTGGGAATGGTCTAGGCATAGGAAGTGTACCAGTTGTCCTGTGGCTACTCTGAGGATGTGAATGCCTTCTTTGAACTAAGCGAGCACCATCTTAAGCTGGGTGCCTTGAGCCACTGGTTGTGATGTGCAGTGGAGTCGGTTCCGACTCATAGCGACCCTGTACAGTGTTTCCGAGGCTGTAAATCTTTACAGGAACAAAAAGCCTCCTCTTTCTCCCGCGGAAAAGCTGGTGGTTTC